CACACGACGGGCCATCTGCCTCCCCCGACACGACGGGTCACCTGCCTCTTCACACACGACGGGTCACCTGCCTCTCCCCACACGACGGGTCACCTGCCTCCCCACACACGACGGGTCACCCGCCTCCCCCGACACGACGGGCCACCTGCCTCCCCTCACATGGCGGGTCACCTGCCTCCCCCCACACGACGGGCCACCCGCCTCCCCCCACACAACGGGTCACCTGCCTCCCCCCACATGACGGGTCACCTGCCTCCCCTCACACGACGGGTCACCTGCCTCCCCTCACATGGCGGGTCACCTGCCTCTCCCCACACACAGGCCACCTGCCTGCTCCCCACACATGACAACCCACGTGCTCCCCACATGACAGACCTGTCTACCTGTGCGCATGTGGTGGGCCACCCGCCCACTCCTGAAGGACGCACGGTGCACTCCCAGATGTGAGACCTGCTCTTTGTGCTGCACGGTGGCCTGGGCGGACACGCACCCCCCTGCAGACTGGGGTGCACAACCACCAAGGTCTCTTGCAGAAATCTTAGAGCAGCTGTGTTTCCCCAGATGTGCTCTCCTGGCAGGCCATGGGTGGTCATTCTTCCTCGCCACCACCGCGGGCCTGAGGCCTCGCTCTTTTTCGATCATCCTGTCCATTGTCCAAGTGTCTCCTGTCCGTGAAGCCCTGGGAATGCTATGACCTGGGCCGGGCACACCTGGGTCATCGAGGTGACCTGTTGGCCTTTTGCACTTTGAAGCGGTCTTTTGCAGCACATTCCCCAGTGCCGTTCAGCATTTACGGGCTTCGAGTGCTGCGTCTGTGAGTGTTCACCGGGTGGAAACCAAGACACTCTGAACTTGAGAACCTGGCTGCCACATGCGGCTGTGCTGGGCCTGAACTTCCTGTCTTCTGATGCCGCTGCCCGTGCTTTTCCGGGAGCAGATGTTGTCAGGCGCCCAGGAGTGAGCTCTTCTTACGGGCCGTGCTCTGTGCAGGCCACACTGGGAAGGGGCCCTGGCTGCCACCCGAAGGCCAGGTGCGCTGAAGCAGGGAACGTGGGCACGACCTGCGTCATGCGAGGCGCACACAGGCTCCCTGCCGACTTGCTCACCTGTGGGGGGTGGCCTCGCCATCTCTGGGGGACAAGGAATGCTGGGCCCTGCAGATCGGTGGGCAGCCTCACTGTGAACCTTCACAGGGAGCTCTGACGGCGTGTCGCGTGCTGTGCTGCTAAATGCAAGGCTGGTTGTCGCCATACACCGGCTGCCCCACAGGAGGTGGGCATGTCCTTCTAGGGAGGTTTGCTGCCTCAGGAACCTGATGGTGGTCACTGTGGGCAGGAAGTGGCTCAATGCTGGTGCGGGGCTTCCATGCCCCATGCGCTGGGCGCTCGCCGGGACCCTGGGAGGCACGGGGCCAGCAGCTCCTTTCCCCAGCTGCCCGCTTAGTGTTCAGTGCCATGTCCTTTCCTGCGGCCTGGTGATGGCAGTCTCACTGGGAACATCTGCCCTGTATCTTATACCCGGTGCCACTCTCAGGGGCTCTGGTGGGGCACCAGTTAAGCACTCAGCTGTTAACAGAAAGGTTGATAGTTTGAACCTGCCCAGGGACTTTGAAGGGGAAGGTCTGACCACGTATTTCTGTAAAGATCCCAGAAAGGCCACGGGCAGCTCCACGCCGCACTTCAGCTCTCGACAGGCCTTAGCTATAGCTGCCACTACGTCCCTCGTGATGCGGCCCTCCCAGTGCCCAGCGGCCAAGGCTCGGCTTGTGCAGGAGTCGATTAGCGCCCGTGCTGGGCCCGGGTACTTGAGAGGACTCCGTGCAGAAGGTGTCAGAGTTGGGGGAGAGGAAGCAGCTGTGGTGGTCAAGCATCCCACCGGGCACGGGGGTCCCCGTCACGGAGCAGCAGCCCCTGCCGGCCCCATGTCCCTGTGGCCACATCCTGGGGCACTGCCGGCTGCTTGTAAACATACAGCCACCCCACGGTAGCAGGTTAAAGGAGGAAAGAGCTGCAGCCCCTCGCCATCACTGCAGAGAGTAACATCCACCACGAGGGCCTCCTGTGCCCTGGTCACGGGGTGGGCTGAGCACTCAGCTGCTATCTGAAGGTTGGTGGTTTGATTCCATGAGAGGAATTGGGTCAAGAATAAGGCTGCAGAGCCCCCTGGAGCAGCTCTGCTCTGAAGCGTGGGGTCCCTGGGTGTCCCCACGTCCCTGAAGCCACATGCCCGCTGGGGGTTCCTGTCCTAGGCTCTCCCAAGGTCCTGCCCCTCACGCACCTCTTCTGCCTCAGGTACCGCCTGGCCGGGCTGCCGGGGGAGCACCAGCAGCGGAATATCAGCAGCCCGGAGGTGAACTACTGCCTGGTGAAGAACCTCATCATCTGGACGCAGTACGAGATCCAGGTGGCTGCGTACAACGGGGCTGGCCTGGGTGTGTTCAGCAGGGCCGTGACCGAGTACACGCTGCAGGGAGGTGAGCACATGGTCCTCACTGCAGCCCGTGGGGATCCCTGGGTGTCGGGGCTACAGTGAGGACTTGGAGTGGCTGCTGTAGATGCTGGGGATTGAGGCTGCAGGATGGATGCTATTGGGGTGCTGCAGTGTGGGTGCTGGGGGCTGCTGCCTCAGAATCCTGGGAATCAGGACCACAGAACAATCTCAAACACAGGTCAGAAGTAGTGGAGCGTCCAGTCCTCCAGGGAGCATGGAGGAGTTCATCACATATTTGATGCAATAATCGAGTTTCATGTCTAACTTTTGTTCTGGTTTCTGAGGACAGGAGTCCTGGCAGCACAATGTTCATGGCTTGGCTCCTAACCTAAGTGTTGGCAATTCAAACCCACGGCCCTGTCTGCAGGAGAACGTGGAGGCCGTCTGCTCTGACAACGCCTCACAGTGTTAGCCGGGCCAGTTCTCTGTCCGCACTCACTGTGGACAGAAGCCACACTCTGGGTGCGAGTCTGGTTGCTGGACTTAGAGGAGAGGGAAGGGGGTGTAAAGCACCCACACCAGTGCTCCTGCCGGGCAGCTCGCTGGCTGAGGCTTTTCCACATGGGGGCTGGTCTGCTCTGCAGGAGAGCTGGCTCCGGGCTCGTGCCAGACACTGTGACCATCTTCCTCAGAAAATTACCCTAACGATGTGTTTCTCGTATTGTGATAGCATTACTGGTGATAGAATTTACCCTTTTTATAATTTTTTATGAATTTTAATGAAAATTTACAGAAACTTTGGGTTCCCATTTATTCATTGTTGCACTTTTCTCCCTGCCCACCCTTCCCCCCAATACACTCTTCTCTTTGAAAAGTAAGAGAAAAGGTCCCCCATTGTTTTACAATCCCTCCCCCAGGTCCACTTCACTATGCAGCCTTCGTTCTGGACTCCTGTCATGACAATAATACCTAATCACATATCCCTTTTAAACAGTTTTCTCCCTGATTTGTTTCAATGCAGTAGACATTATTTGTCCCCTCTTTCTCAGTCTCCCCCTAACCCCAGTGTCAGTCCTGTTTTACAACGGTGGCACTTTGCAGTTTTCGTCTCTTTGTGACTGAAATACTTCACTCAGCATAATGTCCTCCAGGGTCACTCATTTTGAGTAATATTGCATAAGTTCCTTGTTTTTCAATGCAGCATAGTATTCCATTGTGTGAATATGCCACAGCTTCTCTATCTGTTCATTTGTTGATGGGCACTTAGGTTGTTTCCAACTCCTTGCTATCATGAACAAAGCCGCACTAAACATGGGTGTGCATATATCTGCTTGGATGTCAGTTATGATCTCTTTGGGGTATATTCCCAATAGTGGAATTGCTGGGTCAAGTGGTATTTCTATTTGCAGCTTTTTGAGAAAGCGCCATACTGCCTTCCACAGTGGTTGCACCATTTTACACTCCCACCAACAGTGAATAAGGGTTCCAGGCTCTCCACAACATCGCCAGCATTTGTTGCTTGCTGTTCTGTTAAATTTTGCTAGTCTTACTGGGGTGAGATGATATCTCATAGTTGTTTTAATTTGTATCTCTCTTTTGGAGCTAGGGATTTTGAACGTTTCTTCATGTGCTTGTTGGCCATCTGAATGTCGTCTTTGGTGAAGTGTCTGTTCATATCCTGTGCCCATTTTTCAATTGGATTGTTTACCTTTATCTTGTTGTGGTGCATTTAGTCTCTTTTATACGACTTAACACAAACAGGTTGTTTAATCACTGTTCCCATCCCTGTTAAAAAATAAATGCTTTAACCAGGCGGAATGCCAGGAACCCAGTGGATCTTAACCGGTGCCCCAACTGACCCTGAGGTTGTCTTCCCCTCTGCTGTGCTCGGAGGAACTGGGTCTCGGGCAGGGAAGAGCTGGGTGTGTCCAGTGCCCTCACTGTCACGTGCCATGGAGTCAGCTCACGGTGACCCCTGCCCGGTCCTGTCCCGTCCTCCCAGCACTGTGGGAGCCCTGTGACCACTGTGCCCGTCCCTGTCACTGAAGGTCTTCCTCCTCCCCAACCCTCCTTCCCCACGCATGACGTCCTTCTCCAGGGACTTACCGTGTGCAGGTGTGAGAAGGCGTGTCACCGAACACTGGCCTTGCTTCTCAGCCTCGCTCTGGCTGGACTCTCGGGCCTGTTCTGGCGTCCACGGCCTAGTCAGCATTCTTCACCAACACCACGACTGAAAGGCGTCGGCCCTTTACCGCTCTTCCTCCCCACTGCCCATGGAGCACTAGAGGCCAAGTGCGGAGGGAGGTGCACTGTCAGCACAAAGGCTGGAGGTTCAAATTCGCCCAATGTTCCTTGGGAGGAAGTTGAGCTGTCTCCTCCTGCGTCATCAGCAGCCTCTGAAAAGCCCCCGGAGGGTCAGCTCTGAGTCGCTCGGAGTTGCTGCCTACGAGTGGTCGGGTAGGAGCCGTCCTCATTGTCCGGCTTGTATGCGTGTGTGCGGTGCCTGAAAAGACCATGCTGGTCCCTTACAAAACTGCGTTTCTGCTGCTTGCTGTCGATGGAAGGAGAGAGATCCACTCGAGACTCCAGGTGCTGGCCTGGGGCTGATCCCTCCCCCGACACTGCCCGCCCAGCTCGCAGGTGTGGTTTTATTTGTTTAGCCCTTTTGATGGCCAGCAGTCCTTGACCTTTCTCAAACGATAAGGTTTCTAACTGCCCACTTCTCTCCTCAAACCGTGCCTGAGACCTAATGTTCCTTGATATTACATGCTGTTATTATCACCCCTTATTGATTGGCTGCCCGGTGTCATCCCACAGTCCATAAATCCTCCTGGATAAATGAGGTGCAGGTCGCTGCCCAGCAGCTGCGGAATATTTGAATGCAGGGCGCTGGTCGTGGGGGTTTGTGAGCCCCCAGTGAGAACGAGAATGGCCGCAGGCAGGCCGTGGACGTGCGCTAGTGCATTTAGTAAAATAGCGAGAGCTCCGCAAACACGGTGACTGATAACACTCCTCCCCTGCCCGCCCCTTCCTCTACCTCCCTTTCCGCCTTCCTCTTCCTCCTCTTCTTCCTCCCTCTTCCCTCTCCACCCCCTCTCTCATCTTCTTGCTCCTTCCCCTTCTTTACCTCCTCCTCCCTCTCCCTCCTCCTCCTCCTCCTTCTTCCTCCCTCCTCTATTTCTGTTGGTTTGGTGAGTTTACAGAGCAGTGGCTTCCCATGCCAAAGCTCGCCCCATCTCCTTCCCTGCCCTGAATACAGGCCCCTCTGTAACAGCACCCTTCCCACCACCTGCCCGGCTCCCCGCTGCCTGGCTGGGCCTGCTTGGTTTTGTTGCATTTTGCTGAATGAAGAGTCGTGGAAGCTCTCAAGTTTGTCCAACTGACATTCCTTCAAAGCCGCACTGTCCTGACTCATGGTGACCTCACAGGACGGGAGAGCAAGGAACTGCCCCCAGGACCCCCAGGACTGTAAATCTTTACAGAAACAGACTGTCTCACCTTTCTTCTGTGGAGCCACTAGTGGGTTTGAACCCCCGGCCTTTGGTTTCAGCCAGGCTCATCACCCGGACCCACTGGGCATCCATTGGTGTGAGAGTCCTGAGTGACCTGGTGTGTGTTCTGTGCGGGAGGAAGCAGCGGGCCGTGGGAGATGCAGGCGAGGGCCGAGGGCAGCACCTGGACACGCACAGCAGGGCGTGGGTGCAGAGGGGTGGGTCTCCCCACTCCCAGTGTGCCGAGGGAGCCTGATAGTCCAGTCGTCAGTGTACATCGCTGGTGACCGGACTAGTTCTACCATGGGGCCCGCTTTTATGGAGACATACAGCCTCCACAGCCCTGTGGGCAGCTTGGCTTGGCCTATGGGGTCACAGGGAGTCAGGACCAGCTAGACGACACTGGGCTTGGCTTTGGGTGTTCATAGGGAGTTGTTGTAGTTGTGGGGTTCCATGAAGCCTGTGACAGCTGGCACTCAGCTCGGTGGCCTGGCATTCTGGGTCCTGCCCATTTCCTGCCTGTGACAGGGTCCACTGCTGGCCCTGCTCTCACTGTTAGGACATCCACGACTTCTCCCTCTCTGACAGGTTTCCACCTGACACGCATTCTGGCTCTCACAGGTTTTACTATGTAGCTCCAGGATGTGCTTTTCAGCCCCCTGGAAGGCTCACCCTAAGCTCCCGGCACTTGGGCCCTGACCTGACCCCATCCCTTGGCTACGGGGAAGGACTTCTCAGGAAGCACCTTCCCATCTGACTCCTTGAGTGAGGGGCACATGTCGGGGTGGAGATTGTTGGCCTGGTGACGGGGCTCCACCCATGGGTATGGCCACGTGCTGTCCCTGACTGCGCCCCACCCCCCGGGGTAAGGAGGGACTCAGCCAGCCCCTGGCTTGGGCTCAGTCCCAGGGTCCCCTCTTGTGTCAAGGTGCATGTGTGACATTTGCCCACAGGTGGTTGTTATTAACATCCTGCCCACCACAGCCCACAGCACAGCGGAGCAGGGTGAGAACAGGACTGTTTATTCTGTCCTTGAACCATGTTCCCAGCCCAGGTAAGGGCGGAGGGGACCTGGGGCCTTCATTAAAGAGGGTGTGTGCAGGGCCACATGGAACCAGGACTCAGGTTGGAGTCAGGAGAGACCACCCTGATGAGAAGGAAAGGTGTTAGAAAGAAGAAAGGTGACAGCATGGCCCTGGCCGCTTAGGGGGGGTCAGTAAGTGAGACAAAGCTCTGTGGCATCCACCGTGGTCTCTCACTACAGCCTGGCCTTCTCGTCATTTTACCACTGACTGGACTTCCAGAAATGTACTTAGCTCTCAGTGTTGTCATTTGTAAGATGGTGACATTTGTGTCTGTCCTGAGAATCAGTGCTCTGGGTGTCAGGTGGAGGACGGGAGAGAATGCAGAAGGTGGGCAGAGGTTGAGGCCCTGGCACTGTCCAGCTCAGGGGGCCTTAATGCTGCTGTCTGCGTTTTCTCTGTCTGCTCCAGCAGCCCCGGGGAGCGGCAGGCTCATGAAGAGCACATGCGCCGTGTGGACTCTTACTAAC